CCCCCTCCCCCTCCCCCTCCCTCTCCCCCTCCCAAAGAAAAAAAAACACAAAATAAAAAAAACCAAGAGTCAATTGATAGAAGGAATTGGGTTGTTGACTCAACGGGGCTGTTTTTGTGCAAATTGTATTTTGATTCTTTGATAAATGACACAAATCTTCCAATTTTTTATCCATCATTGAAGATTTGGAAGAGTAAGGTTGTGCATGGGTGATTGGTCATGAGAGAATCAATACCAATGATATGATCCAAACAAGACGTCTTTATCTTAGTCTTTACCCACAATGGTGTGTTGTGTAAAAGGGTTAGTGAAAATGCCAACCACTTATTTTTGCATTGATCGGTTGCTTTAAGTTATGGAATAAATTGTTGGAGTTGGTTGGATGTCTTGGGTGGCTCCAAGTACAATGTCATCTATGTTTTGTGAGGATTATGATTGGCTTGGAAGAAGAGCTAAAGGAGTTGCTCTTTGGGAATGTGTGATTTTTGCTACTATTTAAGTGATTTGGTTGAAAAGGAATGCAAGAATCTATGAAGAGAAGTATGAGATGGTTGATGGTTTATGAAACCGTATCTATTTCTTAGCAACTTTTTGAGTATCGATCTCGAAGGAGTTTGCAGCTATCTCGCTCTTTGGCATTTTGGCAAAGCTGGATTGCTTTGTGTGAATGATTGTTTTTTGCTTTTATCTTTTTTCAGTTATGTTGTGTAAGCATTTTGTTGGTTTTGGCTGATGTATGAACTACTTATCTGTATTTTCTATGGACCACTTATCTCTTTCCTATTAATAAAATTGTCGTTCGAGATTCCCAACACTTGATGGGTGGAAAATTGTTGGACCATTGGCATCTCAGGACATATATTCTCCAATTTGAATAGGAGCTAAATGAAAAAAGGTAAACCTAGTGGATTTCTACAGATTCCATGTAATTGGAAGGACTGCTAATTTTTCTTCACTTCATGGTATGAGGCATAGTTATCAGAATTGGACCGCAGTTGAACCTGGACCTAAAATGGTCCAGTTCCTTAGTTACGCCGCTTAAAGAATCAAACAAAACCATTACCTAAAATGGTCCGGTTCCTTAGTTACGCCGCTTAAAGAATCAAACCGCTTGAAAACAGTCAATTTTGGACAAGAATTGTAAACCAGATGAATTTTGTAAACCGGACGGTTGGGAATCAAATCAACGAGCAACATTTCAGACGACCAGCTTGAAGTTAGGCCACCTCCACTCAGCAGCTCAAGTTGCGAACAACCTTGACTCTCTCACTCCATCTCTCTTTATTAGGCGACGAACAACCTCGACTTCCAGGCGATGAATAGTCTCATGATCTCATATCATCTCTTCTCTATCTATTTCCCTCTCTCTCCGTCTATTGAACACACTCACACACCACCGTCTAATGAAGACATACACCCACCGTCTGCTGAAGACATACACACCCTCACGCCAACTTATACAAATTTAATATATTGTTTTTTGTTGTTGATTTGAAATTTTAAAAAGTAGTACAACTTTTTTCGTCTTGAGAAGACAAAAAGACAGACCTGTTTTGCCTTTTCCTTATTATACATATTATATACAAGGAAAATAATTTCCTAATATCTTCTATTTTTGTTACTCTATCCACTATTTCACTTTTTTTTTTGTTTGCTAAGATTATGTGTCAATGGTGTTAATTTTATAGTAAATTATATATGTATTATGAATATGTTTTATATTTTTTTAGTTAATATAATTTTTTTTATTAAACGACCGGTCCAACCAGTTGACTTAATAGTTGAACCAATGAACCATTAACCCAATCTTTTTATCGGTTCGATGTCTGGCCTGATTCTAATAACATTGATACTATGACGTGATTTCATTTATATGTGTTAATAGACGGAGGACGGAGGTGTCGGGGAGAGGCAGGCAACGAAAGGCGTCTTGCAGTCCTTGGTATGGTGGCTTGAGAATACATATTGCTACTCCTATAGTTGACCTTATATAGTTATGTTGCCTTGTTTTTATAATGTAGTTTGGATTTTGTATTTGATCTGCACAGCTTTGTATTGAAGACTAATTGATATGTATTGATATAGGGGCATCAAAGAGAGCAATCAATACAGCTTAGCAGTTGGCTGAGAATGCCTGCTCTGGCTTTGAACAACTCCAAAAGTGTTCACTTTGGAGACCTATTGCTGGAAATTTAGAAAACCCCTCATTTGTGTTCTAGACAAAGTAATAAGATATGGTTGTCATGTTTTTCTTGTAAAACTGATGGGTATGCGGTGTGTCAATTTTATTCGAACTCAAACCCGACACAAAGTCCAAAATGATCTGATTAATTGATATGTAAAATAAACAGGTCAAATTAAAGTTAGACAAAAAATGAGTATTTAATGTATACTGTAAATAAAAAATAATTATTTTATAAATTTTATAGATAGTATTATATGAGTTTTTATAAAATTAAATAATTTTTTATTAATACAAATACGATACGTATCGAAAATGACACGAGACATTTGACATTCCTAGGCATGCAGATGTGTCGGCTTCATTAAGGGGTTTCCCATTAGATTGGATGAAAGTTTAAGCAAAAATACTCTGGAAACAACTGAAAGAGCCACTATAGCATAATAGAGTAGTGCCACTTCTTGGATCAAGTTTACTGACCAAATTTCTACTCAAACCGAATGTTACTGTTGGATTAGCACTAGACACTCACACTGCAAGGGTTTTCTGTTGATCCAATGGTACCCTCCCACGAATCGGGATCGTATGATTCGAAATGGGGTGATTTTTGTAATTTAAATTACTTAAATTTTCAATCTCAAATTTTAAAATAAATATTAATTATATATATATAATCGTATACAATAGAGAAAACAATCTTACAAAAAAAAAAAATACGATCCAATACAGCGTACTAATTAAATCTATTTTCATCGTATCGTTTGTCAAAATATGTATCGTATTGCATATTTGTACTGTATTGTATCACATGCCAATATTTTTTTTTTCTGGTATATAAAATAGATATGAGACTATTGTTCTTCAATATCACACAATTATATGTAAGAAATTTCCTGCACCTACATTAGGGTTAAAACTAAAATTTCACCTCATGCTCTAGACGTTGAAGATTAGGTTTAACTTTAACGAACTGATGTAACTATAAAGACTTGAACTAAACATTGAATGAGAAAATTCAAATTTTTACTCATTGGGCCAACAGCTCGTTGATCATACCAAATACTTGTATCTAAGTACCAAATTAACCCATGATTCATGCACCATTGAGTTGGACATTCAGTGAAATAACAAATATTATGAGGTACGTAAGTGTAAAAACAAGAAGAGAGAAAGATAGGTATGCTGCAAAACTGGTCATACAAGTACAACTTAGGCGGGCTAACCCGATTTCTACCTGAGCCTAACCTGAAAAAATTAGGGTTTGAGTTAAAATTTTTAATATTTGGGTTGGGTCTGGGCAAAAAACCTTTAACTCGAATTGAATTTGGTAAAATTTCAGGTTGTCGAGTTCAACCCGAATATTAAAATCGGGTTGAACCTGAATATTCATAAATATATAAATATATTTAACTAGGATTAATATTTATCTTCACTCTTTAGAATCTAAACTTTCACTTTATTTTAAGTCTTCACCCTTACACCTTCATTACTCTCAAATTTCTCTCTCTCTCACTCCTCCCTCCTCCCTCTCTAACCCTCCTTTTCTCAATAATCACTCGTCTGAATCGTTTTAAACTCTTAGTCTCTCTCTTTCACTCATCACTCGTATGAGTCATCATAGACTCTTAGTCTCATTCTTTTACTCGTCACTCCTCTCACTCTCTTCATTTGTTTTTCACCCTTCATCTCAGATTACTCAAAAATATTAGATCTATATTTTAAAAAATCAACCCGAATTAAATAACACAAACCAATTCGATTTTTAACCCAAAATCAGTCCGAATTAACTAACTAAAATTCAACTAAAGCCCGTCTGAATTAAACTCGGACAGTACTCGGATTGAATACCTCGAATTGAATTAGAGTTATAATTAAAATTATAATTAAAAATTATATATTTAAAATTAGACAAAGATTGACCTCGCTCAATCCGTCCGGGTTGCACCCCTGATAGCAGCACCTCCTTTACTCTACCAACACTCCCAGATTTTAAATACCTCACTCTCTCACGAGAAAACGTCACCGATTACTCAAATAGCAATTTCGTACAAGACCAATAGCAAAACGACAGCGTAATTTGCACACGCCATTTCTTCTCTCCGTTTTGGTTCTCATTTTACATGCTTTTCTCGCTCTCTCGCTATATCACAATACTCTGATCTGCAATTCGGATCCACCCAAAAATATCAATCTCGATACTTGTGTGCATGTAGAAGGATCTTTGTAATTGAATACTTTCAGATCTCAAATTTCGATGGAAATGGCTTCGGTCTCTTCCAGTCCGCGATCTGTAGAAGAGATCTTCAAAGAACACAGCAGTCGACGAGCCGGCATAGTTCGTGCTTTAACTTACGGTATTCTTCTCGTCGTTTTGTATTTTTCTATATATATATATATATATATATATTGGTTTTGTTTTTGTTTGTTTCTTTAACTGTAAGTTGGGGAAAAAATTATAACTGCGATGAGTTCTTTTTTCCTCAGATGTGGATCAATTCTATGGACTCTGTGATCCAGGTAAGTTTTCGATTTTTAGTAGTAATTTGTGTGCAATTGAAGATTACAGTTCTGGTTTGACTCGGTGGAAAATTGTATTAGCTTGTCTGTTTTCTGTTGTCCTTTGATTTGTATGTTTTGCGATCTTGTATATGCATATGTATGTAGATGTGTTATGAATTCACCTTTTTCTTTTATGGAAAAGTGTAATCAGGGTAGACGTATGCTCTGTTTGGTTGGAACTAATTGAGGGGATTTTTTTTTTTTGGATTTTCAATGGCAGCTTGGATTGATAGCTTAGCTTAATATAGTTAAACCATCATCTATAATGGCGGAGAGAATTTTTCTAAATGATATAGTTGAATTCCTTTCAGTTTGGCCTTAAAATGAAACGGGAAGCTTTGGATTTTTATGGCTTTCTATAGTTGTAAGTAGTTAATTACTAATTATCTGGCTTGAAAGCTATGTTGGCTTCTTGGAAGGTGGAAAATTTAACTTAACCAAATGATTGTTCAAAAGATTAGATTTAATTATCGTCATTTTCTTGTAATTTGTTTTTTTATTGAACTAAGAAGGCACTACTGAGAAGTTCAGTTTTCTTTCCTCTTGTTTTCACCATTTCTCTACCTTAGGGAGGTTTATACTCTTTGCTTCTTTTCTGTTTTTGTTAATACTTTTAATTTTTGGTAAGATTTCCGCTTGTTGTATACATTGTTTTAGAGAAGGAGAATTTGTGTCTTTATGGACATCCAAATGAAACTTGGGAAGTCAATCTTCCTGCGGAGGAAGTTCCTCCTGAGCTTCCTGAACCGGCTCTTGGGATCAATTTTGCTAGGGATGGCATGGATCGTAGAGATTGGCTTTCGCTGGTCGCTGTTCACAGTGATTGTTGGTTGCTTTCTGTGGCTTTCTATCTTGGTGCCCGGCTTAACCGCAATGAAAGGTACTATATCATATTTAAGCTATTCCTTCGCAAATGTGGCATATTGTGTTTGCTAAATCGACCTACAAGAAGGCTATACCATGCGGTCAAATCCCATTTGCTCCCACATTGAAATACATGGGTGGATTAAATTACACGAGAGAAAGACCACTTGGCAAAGCCTGTCACATTGTTCATCTTTGACCAGCCTGCCTTCTTTCTCTAAGCAAGCTTCCATTGACCCTACAGAGACTGGGTGTCTCTCTGTTCTTGGCATGTAGGGGATAATGCGCCAGCTAAAAGAGCTGCTCGAAAGCTTTAGGAAGAAGCAAAAGAAGTCTATGCATTGTATTTCATTAGTGAAGGGCTGTTCCCTTAGTATAAGGTGGTAAAGTAGGACACCATTCGATGAAGAAAACAAACTCTAGTGAAATGGTTCAAGTAGCTCAGCTCCATTTTTTCCCTTTTCTCACTGCTTTCAAGCTTTGAATGTTTATGATATTTTATTCTTATATTGCCCACTATGTTATTATTGTCTTGTGTTTCTTCTGATATGAGTATTTTGAAAGTTCGTTCTCAACTTCTCATAGTGAATCGTTTTTCATCTTCTGGGCCTGTTGTTTGGGTTATCTTTTCTGGAACCAAAATGTCCTCATCTAGTATTGACTGGGGATCATTGATGGCTTCCGGTCTTGTAGTGATCCAGACCTTAAGCACAGTAGTATGAGGGTAGGAAAAGATACTGTCACCACCTTGTTAAGGTCCATTGTAGTTGTGATCATAAGCTTGCAAATGTGCTTATGTTTTGTGATTTATGCTCTCTCTCTCTCTCTCTCCAGAGATGGGAATAGCTTGGTTTTCTTTGAGCTAGGCTTACTATGTTTGTTTATTCATGTACAGGAAGCGCCTATTTAGCTTGATCAATGATCTGCCCACCGTATTTGAAGTTGTGACGGACAGGAAGAGTGTAAAGGACAAGCCTAGCGCTGATAGTGGAAACAAATCTAGGGGCAGCACTAAGGTAGGAGTAGGATAGATTAGAAGTTCTTATTTTTTTTATTTTGGACAGTTGAATAGAAGTTGATTTTGAGTTACTCCTCATCCTCCGTCTCTGTGGTCTTGTTTTTCACACAATGAGAATTGGAGGGTGATTTTGCCAAGCGAGGAAATATTGTTGAATTATGTGTATATGGCCTAATGATGGAATGAAATCAATCACTATATAAGAGGAAGAGGGAAGAGATTGATTTCCGAATATTGACTTCCTGCAATGAACATGCATCCTTGATTTACTTTTCCTTCATGCCAAATCTACTTGTATTTCTGTTGTACTTAAGTTAATATGATCTCTCTTTATTTGTAGAGATCTAGTGATGGACAGGTGAAAACCAACCCCAAGTTGGCAGATGAAAGTTATGAGGAAGAAGAAGATGAACATAGTGAAACCCTATGTGGGAGCTGTGGCGGGAATTACAGTGCAGACGAGTTTTGGATTGGGTGTGACATCTGTGAGAGGTGGTTCCACGGAAAGTGCGTGAAGATAACACCTGCCAAAGCTGAGAACATAAAACAATACAAATGCCCATCTTGCAGCATGAAGCGGAACAGGCAGTAGTAGTCACTGTAACCTACAAAGGGAGAGGGGGGAGGGGGGATACAGTTGATTTGGTGACTAACAAAGTAGTACAGCAGTATTACATTTTCTGTGTTTGCAATGACTATGTTGTCGTGATGGTTGTTTATACTATACCATAAGCTGTTGATGAGGTTGATGTTTGGCTTCTTCCTATCATCAAGTCCTTACTTGAATGCTGTGCTTATGTTTATGAAATACTTAATTTATTTTAGTTGCTTCTATATTTTTATCAATTGCCATGAAGCCTTCTCTGTGTTTTTCGGGCAGATGTTACTATTTGAAAAGGCAAATATTGTTTGTAACTACGATGCAGACCTAATCAATAGTAGCTATTAAATTAAATGTGACTTCCAAAGTCACCTAATATTGAAGTTTATTGTTAATCGAATTATTATAATAAATTAAGTCCTTGAATTTGGTTACTCAAATTTTTTTTTTTGGATAATGGGAGAAATTTCTAATATGTTTTCAGTGAGTAGAAATGCACTTATGTTGCTTAGGCTCGTGAATTCGAGTAGAATCAAGAGCAAATTTTGAATGCATGAATTGGTTCCTCAACTCATACACTAATTAAATTAGTTTCGATGGGAATTCGAACTAAAACTAGAGACTTGAATATGATTCCTTTAAACAACTGAGGTCTGTCTTACCAATAATTAGGGATGGTAGAGGACTGGGATGGGGGCGGGGGGAGTAGTTTTCACCCCGTACCCACTTAAAAATATTATGTCCAACCCTGGTTTACCCTTGTTAACAGAATTAGTTTTCATCCCCATCCTCGTTCACAGGTAAATTATAATCTCCGCCCCTTACCCCGCTACCCTCATTCACCCTCGCCTCCACCCAAGTCCAAGCCCAACACAATAATCCAATATAATTATAGAATTTCATAACATAATTAAAAGCTTGAACTCTATATATCACAACCAAGCCAAGTTTCGGTATATTATAGTTTGACAAACTTCACTCAATTAACACTCCAAAAAAAAAAAGAGAGAGTAAACATAAAGCACGAAGAGTTTCTATGAACAATGGAAAAAATATAAATAAATAAAAATATAATTGATTGATACCAAATCTAGCGAAAGACATTAAATAATCAGTTAAAGGACTAATAATTACTTGTATTGAAAAATGAGAATAGATTCAAATTACAAATAATTGAAATTAACTTAAATAACTTACAACTAGTTTACTGAAAGAAGTTCTCTTGTTGCATCATATGAAGACTTAGATACAAAGAGAGATATGGGAGAGGAGAGAATTTTGTCATAAATTGTCTCTGGTTTGCTAAGATTGCTAGGATCTCAGTCATTCTTTGAAGTCTTCACATGATGCAGCAAGTTGTGGGATATGAGAGAATCTTTGAAATGATTTCTTTTTTGACTTCTAGCGCTGCTTTTACTCAGTTAACTTGCTTTTACTCAGGTGAGATGTTTTTCACTTTTGCTTTTCAGTGGAAAAGGTGAAGTGAATCTCTTTTACTTTGGTGAATTTTGACTTTCAGGCAAGAGCATGTGACTGCTGGGCCCCTGATGTTGGCTAGAATCTGCTTTCGGTGGAAAAGTTGATTAAGTGATTGATTGGTGGCTGCTTTACTGGTGGATAGTAGTCTTGTTGCTGGATGATTTTATCTGGGTATGTAAAAGATTTTCTTTCTTTAGTCAAAGGAAGTAGTGACTGAAGTCTTTTACTTAATGATGAGAATCATGACCTGGATAGATCATAAGCATCATTGGGGTCTCGGGCATCCTGGAAGGGATCCATATACGGGCTAACTGATTCTTGTGATGATGCTGAAGATGAATCATCTTCTTGTTGTCTTGTTGCTTGCTGGAGCAGTTTCTGTGCTAGTTCAATTAGCTCAGACAATTTCTTCTTATGTATTTTATTGGAATCCTTAAATGAGGTTTTGATTTACTTTCCTGATGATGCCTGGACTTCTGGTGAAGACACTCTGAGGGCTGGTATAACCTGATTGACTGGTGTGATGGTAGTTGTTCCTATAATCCTGACTGGAGGAGGAACTTTGATTGAAAATTCTTTTTTAACTTGGGCAATAATGCGACTGTGATCAAATCTTGGCCACCATTTAACATACTATAGTCGGACGACTGTATTTGCTATGATATTATACTCCCACTTGCAAATCCAAGGAACTTTATATTTAAAAATAAATAATAATAATATTGAAAACTGACTCTCATGTTGACTAACCTTAAAACAGGAGGAGAAATATGTAACTTGATCTTGAAGATCAATTGGTAGGATTTCAAGCATGGGGCTGTGAACCTGTAACCATTGTAAAATCAAGAAGGAACTTGGCTCTTGAATTCCTTGCTGAATTGTATGAACTAGGAATGAGCGTAAGACTCATCCTGATGGAGGATCAGTTTAAATTATGACTCTTTGCAATCATAGTACTAAACTATTTGCTATGTCCTAGAAGATCTTAGAGTAAAGAAGAGTGAGATCCCTAATCTTTGGCTGAGATGAACTTCTGCATATATAAAGAATGATATATAATTTTGCTAGGATCATTCCTATCAGCAATAGGTTTGATAAAGATTGACTGGGTATGAAACAAGATATCCTGGTAAAATGTGAAAATTTTCTCAGAATCTAAAAAGATAAAAGTCAATCTTGATTCAAGATAAGCATTGACTAGGTTAACGGGGTTGCTTAGATGAGCATGAGTTGATTCAATAACAAATATGTTGTGGGTTATTGGTTTCTTAATAAATTCGGCTTTTGGACCTTGGTATGTTGACTTTGATTAATAGAGATTGATTAGTTGGTTAGGCTTAACTAAGGATATGGGTTGTGCCATATATGGGCTAGAAGATGTTTGTTGCTTGATTTGATAAAGACCTATTATTGTGTCAAGATTTACTAAAGAGGATTGATATGTTGGTCTAACTGGGTTACCAAGAGGTTGGTAACAATTGACAATTTTAAGAGGTGGTAAATGGATTGACTTTGAGTTTGGACTTGGTAATGCTAATTGTTTATCAGTATTCCTCCCGAGTTTTTTAGATGAAATAGTGGGTTTACTAGGTTTCCTGTCCGTCATGTTTCAACTTTAATATTGTAAACCCAAGTGTAGGTTGAGTGAAGTAATATAATTCTCGGAAGACCGAGGTTGAACCCTCATGGAATTGTAACAAAAAAACAATCACACAAATACTTAAACAAACTTAAAAATAAATGATTTATTTAGGGAATTGTTAAACAAAAAAAATTGATTTCAATAATTAAAACAGTAATAAAAATACTAGAGCATCAAGTACTCCCTCTCAATTCTATACAATAATGATTAAATACTCAAATTTTAACTCGAGAAAAGAATCAGATGTGAGTTGATTCGAGTAACAAATCAAGTAAGAAAACCAAAAGTTATAATCAAAAGATTATTTAGGAACCTGAATAATCATCTAATTATATTTTATAAAATAATGATAATTACTTCAAGCGTGGAATAACCAGTTATTTACTCGTAGAGAAATTCAAGCAATCGATTTACATGACACAACGACTCAAGAATTTTTACAGAGCAAAAACTCTGCTAACAGATCAGAAGTTAAATTAACAAAGTATCATAAATCATTAAACTTAGAATCAATAATATTACCGTACTTCATTGAGGGGTTCTCCCCTAACCCTAGCTTAGCTTTCTAGCCAGACATGAAGAACTAAAATAAAAATAAAAAGATGGAAAAACGAATAATCTTCTCTAAATGAGAACCCCTATTTACACTAAAAATAAATCATAAGTATAGGTAGAAGATATAAGGTTGGCTTGGAAGGAATTCATTTCCAAAAAGAAGTCTTGTAAGGTTAAATCCTGTACATAAAATCTTTGGGACGCGGGTACAAAATCTGTCCAGACTTCGAGCTTAAATTTTGCATAATTAGAGGCTGAATCACGAAAATTTCATGAAATACACTTTTGTAGCCCTAAAAGTCTTCTTCTCAACCTCCAAACATCAAGTACATAGGATATTAGAGTCAAAAGTTATGACCAAAATACTGAAGATTAGTCAAATCCTTATCTTTTAGAATACTTTCCTAATCCAACTCTAAATGAGTATTCTTTAAACCTGGACTCTTATAAGGATTAAATTGCTGTCATATCTTCAAATCTTCCTATTTTAATCTTGACTCTTCAATCATTATCAATTGTGATTCTTCCTCTAGTGATTGATTTACTTGTATTATTTATTATTATTTTAAATCAATCAATTTATCTGCAAAATAAACCAAACAACTAAAAAAAGTATCAAACTAGAAAATTAAATAATTTAACACATTTAATCACAAATAATATGTAATTAACCAATCATTAAATATAATAAAATAGCAATTTTAATGGTTAATCAATGAGATTCCTGTAGAAATTCATGGGTTAGGAAATCAGGAATACAGTTATTACTGCCTTTAATATACTCGATATCAAAATAAAAAATACTTAAAATAGATTGTCATATGACAAAATTTGCTTACTAGCAATGTTTTGTACATTTTTTTCCAAACATATTTTGCTAATTTACAATCAACTCTGACTAAAAATTTCTGGTTTAGAATATCATCCTGAAATTTTAAGATATATAGAACAATAAACTAATTTTTTTTTATAGTACTATAATTACTTTGTGTTTTGTTCCAGATTTTAGAGTGGAAACGAACAATTTGTTCTAAGGAGTCTGTATTGACTTTTTGGAGAAGGATACCACCGTAGCCAGTGTCGAAGACATCAGCCTGGATAATTTTGAAAGAATTTGCTGAGGGAATACCAAGACGAGGGAAAGTCTTGATATATTTTTTGACTTGTTTAGCTATGAATGTATAAACAGAACACCAAGGAGGACGATTTCCTTTGAATCTGTCATACAGAGGTTTGACTGTTTTTCTGAGGTCTTGGTCGAAGTTTGAAATGTAGTTTAAAGACCCAAAAAATATCTATAACTAAGTTTTGTCTGTAATCTTATCAGGGAACTTATCTACAAATTGGATAGATCTATTGATGGGAATTACTGTTGACTGTTGGATATTATATTCAAGAAATATGACTGAGGTTTGAACAACTTAATCTTGCTAGAAGAGATGACTAGACTATTGTATCTAATTATCTCTAAGAAGACATTATAGTATTTTCAACGTTCTTCTATAGACTTGGAGAAAATGAAGATATCATCTATGTAGACTATAGAGAAATGACTAGCTGGGTTAAAGACTTCATTTATTATATTTTGAAATTCACTAGGAACATTTTTCAATCCAAAAGACATTACATTCAATTCATAATGTCCAAAAAGAGTTGTAAATGCATTTTTGTATCTGTCTTCTAGGGATATTTGAATCTGTCAAAAGTTACTTTTCAAATCAAAATTTAAAAATATAACTGAATTGCTCAATCTTTTGATTAAATCCTGTTTGTTTAGAATTGAGTACCTGATCTATTATAATGCAGAATTTAGAGGCTTGTAATTGATGACTAACCTTGGTACTCCTCTTTTTAATTTTACATTTTTGATGACATAGAAAGCTGAACATGACCAAGAGGACTTGCTTTTTCTAATGATACTATTTTTGAGTGATTCAGAAATTTATGTTTTACAAATTTTCATTACTTCATGGTTCATTTGGATAGGTCTTGACTTGGTTGGAATATTATGTTCACTAAATCCTTTAATGTAAGGAAGTTTTATCATATGTTTTTTCCTATGCTAGATGGCAGTGGGAAAGTTAGAACATACTTCATTTTCTAACTTTTCTTTAAACCTTTCAATTTTTTGGATTAAGATTGGATTGGTTAGCTGTTCTTAAATTCTTTTGCAACTAATTTCTTCTTTAAGAAATTTTACTTGATTACTTTTCAGAGTTATTAAATTAAGAGATTTAGAGATTGAATAATTTTTAAGTTGTCTTAAATCTTTGACTTGAGATTTTGTTAAAAATTTAAATGTTACTAACTGACCAAATGGTTTGATAGACACACTGTAAAACTCAGGTAAATTTGAACTTTTCATAAAAAGGGTAAAACGATAATTTGTCGCTACGGTACGAGTTATAAACTTGAATTTTCTTAGATCTCAGATGACAAAATGGATTTCACCGTTGGATTCGTCTATCGAAATCTAGTTACCCCGTCAATTCTCGTCGAATTAATTAATCCTAACCTATTAATTTTTTAGCAATATTATTAAGAGCTAATTTATTGACCTAATTTACTATAATCATTGGATTAATTAGGGGGCCCATCAAATATTAAAATTTGGTATTAATCCAATAATTAAAATAAAACTACATCATTAAGTCAACATATTAAATCAAATTTTTAGGTCCAACAACACTAGTCTTAATTTTTGGTATGATTCTCACTTTGAGAAACAAAAAAAAGAGAGGATAAATTACATTTTGACCCTTAAACTATAACCATTTTTCACTTTTCCACTTCAATTATTATATTTTTCACATTGCACCCTTCATATTGTCTCAATTATTAACGTTCATTACATATTTACCTAAATATTATTTTATTTTATCCCCTAAACTATAATTTTTTTTTAATTTGTCCTGATACGTCAATAATTTTTGTTCAAAAAGATAATGACCTTTTGTGATTGACATAAAGTAAAATAATAGAGTAGTAGTGAGGGTACAATGTACAAAAATTAATAGTTAAAAGGACAATATTAAAAAAAAATCATAGTTCAGAGAGTCAAAATATAATTTATCCAAAAAAATAAATAGCTGACTGCCTCCAAAAACTGGCTTGACCTTGTGCGGGTGCATTATATGTACGGCCTTACTCGGCCTACTTGATCCTTGATCGGGTCAAACACTATTGATGACTGGGTCACAATCGAATCTAGGTTTCTTCGCTAAAGGGATGAGATCAAGAGAAATTAAGAGAGTTTCGAGTTTGACAAGCTTTGGACTCTCTTTCTTCTTCGTTTGGTTTATTCCGAAAATTGCAGACATTTAAGGGCATCTCCACCTACCACTTTTGCCTTAGTACCCATCGCCTGCGTGACTTTTTCTTTGCAAACACAGCTGTTTCTGTTCCTATCTCTATAACCCTCCTGAGAGGGTCATTGTTCAGTGCCCGGAAGGGTTGCTGACTTGCAGCTGTCAGTATCAAAATGGGTTCGACTCGCGCTGATGGCTCGGGAAAGGATCGGTTAAAGTGGACACCAAAGTTGCATGATCTTTTTGAGAAGGCAGTGAATCAGCTTGGAGGGCCAGATAGTAAGTAGAGCAGTGTGATAAAAAGTGGTGCAATTTAACGTGCATGAAATGGTTTGCATGGTTTCTTTCGAGTGCCTTTGTTGCTCATGTCTCTTGTGGTTTAATGTAGTTCGGAAAGATTATGTTTGATGGTTTGTTTTTGATGTTTATGTGTGTGGTTTTAGGGGCTACACCAAAAGGTATCTTGAAGGCTATGGGCATTGCTGGACTAACCATTTACCATGTCAAAAGCCACTTACAGGTTCGCCCCTCTCTCTCCATCTCTATCTGACACACAGACACAGAGGATGTCAAAATATAATACACAATTGGTAACACGACACAAAATTAGAAAATTTGATTTTTTCATAAGTGACCTGTTTAGTAAATAATACGATTAATAAACAATTCGCATATGTGTAAAATCAATAAAAAAAAATATACGACATAACTCGTTTATATACTAATTATACAAAGTTTATACACGATATGAACTCAATATGATATGATTTGTTAGACTAATAAATAAGAAATATTTTTTAACACGAACCCGCTAAGATTCGATACAAATTTACCTCACTTGACTCGATTAACAAACCCCCACACTATGAATCCACTGTAATTGATCTCTCTTTGCAAGAGATATGAATTTGTTTTTGCTTTTTTTAAGTGTTTAAAAATCCATTAGATGGTTATGCCAAAGTCTCTAAGTTGTGGTATGAGTTTTATTTATTGGATTTTCTTCTTCCAGAAATACAGGATGTCAAAATTTATTCCAGAATCGTCCACTAGTAAGTTTAAATCTCCTTTATTGGAAGATCTTACCCTTTGATGTTCTTTGATAATAATTTTTTGAAATATGCAGGAGGCAAGTATGAAAGAAGAAGCATCTCAGAAATTCTGCCCAACTTCAGCACCACATCGTGAGTTGCTGCTTTTTTCCTTGATTAATTTCCCAAGATTCTGATACAGGAAAACGGGTAAAATTATGAGTAAAATGAACGAAAAGTGGATAATACCGGTTTAGATTCCTATTCTAGAGCTATTGATTCACAAAAATACTAGTTCCACATGGTTCAATCAATCTATAAATACAAGAATAATTGAAAAAAAGAGAGACAAGTCTCTTCTATAATATTATTCATCCAACGCTCCTTTTGCTTTAAGGCTTACAAGAGTTTATATAATAGCATAAACCCTAAAACCAATTAAGAAAATAGAATCTAAATTAAATTAGGTAATTAAATAAGATAAAATCCTAAATGAATCAAAAAATAAAATTAACTAATGTTCTATAAAATCTTCTAAAAATTCCTAATTGAATGGGATTAATCACATTCAAATACAATATCAAAATTAACACCACCCATACTGTATCAGATTCCTCAGAACATTTAATCTATTTTCAATATTCCCTTTCATAAGTTTATTCTCGCGATAATTCGTGTACATTTTTGTAGTGGTGCTCAGCTCAACGAAGCACTTCAAATGCAAATGCAAATGGAAGTGCAAAGACGCTTGAGTGATCAACTTGAGGTATATTAATATATTTCACAACATGACAATGTTGGTGTGGTATAACCGTTGCACCTAATATTTACTTCTATTAATGGAAATTAGGGTGTTGACCCTTAGAAGACAAAAGTTGAACATTGTTCTATAATAAGCACATTTTCATCCTTGAAGGTTCAAAAGAGCTTGAAACTTAAAATTGAAGCCCAAGAAAAGTTCCTAGAGAGAATTGCAGAGGAATTTAAAACCCGGCCAAACATCACAACGCCTAGCAAGCCTTTCTCTCCTCTATCACTTCCTTCCCTTTGCGATGATTCTGAATCAAATATGAAGGAATTTGAATCCGACTCTGAGGCTGACAAGAACGAAATACGTTGTGAAGAACTTCGAGCTACAAAGAGGCTTAGGGTGGAGGAAAATATTCTGCAACAAAGATTTAAACTCGCTTCACTCAACTCAGGATCTTATAATCCAAACTTGGTTCTGTCAAAAGGAGGGAATTATCCTTATTCTGCCCATGAAATCAGCTTTCCATGGAGTGTTTCAGCCTGTCAATCGCCTCAACTGCCAGCTTCATATGGTTCTTATAATTAGAATGGAATTTTACTCAAATAAAGTAACATTGTTGTGGGATTGCCTATGGCAATTCTACTATATGTAGTAGGAGATTGGGTGGTGTGTGTTGGTCATACTGTATTCTAAATGTGTCTAGACTCATTATTATAGTGTATTGTATTGATAATNTAATAGCATAAACCCTAAAACCAATTAAGAAAATAGAATCTAAATTAAATTAGGTAATTAAATAAGATAAAATCCTAAATGAATCAAAAAATAAAATTAACTAATGTTCTATAAAATCTTCTAAAAATTCCTAATTGAATGGGATTAATCACATTCAAATACAATATCAAAATTAACACCACCCATACTGTATCAGATTCCTCAGAACATTTAATCTATTTTCAATATTCCCTTTCATAAGTTTATTCTCGCGATAATTCGTGTACATTTTTGTAGTGGTGCTCAGCTCAACGAAGCACTTCAAATGCAAATGCAAATGGAAGTGCAAAGACGCTTGAGTGATCAACTTGAGGTATATTAATATATTTCACAACATGACAATGTTGGTGTGGTATAACCGTTGCACCTAATATTTACTTCTATTAATGGAAATTAGGGTGTTGACCCTTAGAAGACAAAAGTTGAACATTGTTCTATAATAAGCACATTTTCATCCTTGAAGGTTCAAAAGAGCTTGAAACTTAAAATTGAAGCCCAAGAAAAGTTCCTAGAGAGAATTGCAGAGGAATTTAAAACCCGGCCAAACATCACAACGCCTAGCAAGCCTTTCTCTCCTCTATCACTTCCTTCCCTTTGCGATGATTCTGAATCAAATATGAAGGAATTTGAATCCGACTCTGAGGCTGACAAGAACGAAATACGTTGTGAAGAACTTCGAGCTACAAAGAGGCTTAGGGTGGAGGAAAATATTCTGCAACAAAGATTTAAACTCGCTTCACTCAACTCAGGATCTTATAATCCAAACTTGGTTCTGTCAAAAGGAGGGAATTATCCTTATTCTGCCCATGAAATCAGCTTTCCATGGAGTGTTTCAGCCTGTCAATCGCCTCAACTGCCAGCTTCATATGGTTCTTATAATTAGAATGGAATTTTACTCAAATAAAGTAACATTGTTGTGGGATTGCCTATGGCAATTCTACTATATGTAGTAGGAGATTGGGTGGTGTGTGTTGGTCATACTGTATTCTAAATGTGTCTAGACTCATTATTATAGTGTATTGTATTGATAATAAGAATATGACCATATCCATCTTGATTATTAAGCACAGATGATATATATATATATATGTGATTTGTACTTAATCTTCAAGATGGGATTGCTTTGTGCTTCTCATGGTCTTTGATATCGAGATTTTTTCTAATGTATTTTCATCAAATTTGGGCAGATAATTACCAAAAAATGTTTGAATCAGAAGTTAACAAGCCGTGAACTCTGGTTGAAATTTGAAGTTATGGGTGCTAAGGTGATGCAGCAGAACAAGGAACATAAAGAAAAATATCGTTTTTAATGTATAGAATAAAAATACTCTAAATCTACAGAGAAAAGAACAATAGAAATACATTTGAAAATATATATTATTCAATGTCTAATTCGTATTACATAAAGGAATATATATAGAACGGCACCCTAATCGTCCACATAATAAAAGAAAAATCCTTAATTATACAAAAATGAAAAATTGTAATCTAACTATTTAATATAAAGCACATGTCATTTAGAATCTAACAATACGACGCTAAATTTGAAATCTCTTGTGATTTAATATTAATTTTTGAATTTTTTTCTAAAACGACAAAAATAAGATTTTGAAGTCTAAATGATAGAATTCGGCCCAAAACTTAAAAGAAGTTCATGGCAAAGTCATAAGTCTTGATTGTTGGCCTGATCCGAATCAAACGTTATTGATCTCAATTAATTCTGAATCCGACTCATTTTGCCTCTAGTATAACTTTTTGACCTTTAAATCATGGACATGCAAAGATTTTCCAACTTTAAGTAATCAGCTCCCACCAATTCTACGTCATAATGCCTAAGGCATTTAACTTGATGCAAAGTGAAAAGAGGAGCTTATATAGTTATGCCTTCCATTAAAGCTATGATACTGATCTGCCGTCTATTAACCAACTTTTGTTGGCTTTTTTTTTTCTTACCAGTGCATGAAGCCAAGGGGAGCTTATGCCTTTTATACTATCTATTCAGATCGTTGGAGTTCATTATCTACGCCAAATGTCGATCACGTTTTGGCTAAGAGTTGCATAAAATACCGAACCAGCGCCTTATCAAACACAATTTTACTTTCCAAGGCTCTCACGAGCAAGTATATATGATACCGGACAGTTTACAACCATCTTTATTTATAGGACCAAGGCGAGCTTCTAATAAACAAGAGATAAATTTACGTCTTTGGGGTCGTAGTTGTATCTATGGCTTCTATACTATCTATTTAGATCAAGGAGTTCATTATCTACACCAAATGTCAGTACCTTACTTTCTTTTTGGCAAAGAGTGACCTAAAATAGTGAGCCAATGCCTTATCAAACAAATTTTCACTTTCCAAAGCTCTCACGGGTAAGTGTACATGATACCCGAAAGTTTGCAGCCGCCTTTATTCATGAGACCAAGGCGAGCTTCTAATAAACGAGAGAGAAGTTCACATCTTTAGGGTCGTAGCTGTATGTATATCCTAATGTGTAATGCTTACATTTTGATTTTCTCGAAATTCATACTACAATCTCAAAGACGAGGAGAGCACAAAGGGAGGGAATAACAAGAGCAATGGAGAACCAAGTTGATAAGAAGACTCACTATTAAGAACGAATGAACGACAATTATCAAAATTTTTTGATGAGTTTGAATTTTACTGGGTTAGGCCCAATGAAAACAATCCGAGAAAGTTCGAAGGAAAGTTCAAATCGAAACTGAATCGATCCATTGGAAAGGAAGACATCAAGAGGCCAACGCCCAAAGCCCCAAGGCCAACGCCCAAGAGACTTGGCAGCCCTTGGGCCTAGTTTGGCCCCTTGGGCGCCTCCCTCTTTGCTCCTCTTCACCTTAGAGCTCCAATCCAAGTCTAAGTCACACCAACTCAAGACAGGTCCAGGATCAAGACGAGGATCAAGTCCAATCCAGCTGAGAGTCCTCCTCCGAAAGAATAGGAGCACGAGGGAGTAAACATCGGGATAGGCACGAAGATCTCCTGCCATAGTTGTACTTACTAAAATAGTAGAAGTCTTTATCCTCACGTCACCGTCTCATTGCCTCATCACACCTATATAATGTAAGCCCTTTCTATATAGAGGGCATGCTCTCACCTCCTTGAGACCTCTACACCTCGAGCTCTCTACACACACTATATCTCTCTCTTTCTCTCAAAAGCATTGTAACTCTCCGGAGACCATGATTCATCAATAAAGAACATCAGACTACTGCTGCCGTTTCCAAGAGTGGAGTAGGTCATCCGAGACCGAACCACTATAAATCCCTGTGTTGATTGCTTAATTATTATTTTACACTTCATTGTCATTGATTGCTTGTTTGTCACTCATTAATTACATCCGTTCGTATACTTGACTGATGATTTTGCACAAAACTAATTTGTGCATCATCACTTTTCGTGACAAGCAAATAAAAGACAAGTAATTAATGACCGATGATGTTCAAAGCATTCCATTAATGAACTCTAAGATGGTAGCCAGACAGTATTAGTCGTTGTAGATAGGGTTGATAATCAAGTCGAATTTTACATGTTGAAGCTTGTTGAGATCATTTTTTTAAACAAACAAAAAAAATTGTTTAAGTTAGACTCGTGTAACATATAAACGAGTCGAACTTTACGATATCGAATTGAGTTTTTTAGGCTCATTTTTTAAACAAATCTAAAAAATTGTTTAAGTTTAGTTCGTTTAGAATACAAACTAAGCTTGAGTTGAACCAAACCCGAGCTGCACGGCTAAATTATTGGCCCTAATTGTAGAAAAAAAAGAGGGTCAGGGAATTTAAAAGAGAGTCATGAAATTGAGTCCCCTGAGAGAAAAATAAGTGCAATTTTTGAAGTAACGAAATAAGAGCAATGCTATTGAGATCTAATTTACTGAAATAATTTGTTAACCTAATTCACTGTGATATTTGGATTGACTGTAGATCCATCAAACATTGTAATTTGGAGTTGATTCAATGATTTCTATAAAGTCACATCATTATGTCAATAAATTAGGTTATATTTTTATGTTCAAATAACATTATTCATGAAAGAATCTCACCTTTTTTTGTGAAAATGCAAAATGAATATTAATTTTTCAGTGACCTAGTAATTAGGGGGAAGGTTCACCAGATTAAGAGGAGAGGTAGCTTGGACAAAGTCTTCTAGACTTCTACGTTATTGAAACTGCCGATTACAAAGGTTCTTTACACTGAGAGGAGAGATAGTTTGGACAAAGTCTGCTACCTTATTGAAAGTGCCAATTACAAAGGTTCTCTACACTAAGAGAGGAGAGATAGTTTGGACAAAATCTGCTACTTGATTAAAACTGCCAATTAGAACGTAGTTAAAAGCTTTAGAATTGTCTCCAGATTAAGAGTAGAGGTAGCTTGGACAAATAGTCTGCTTCCTTTCTACTGTACTGCCGATTACAATAAATAAATAGTCTGGTCCCTCTCTCTCTCTCTCTCTCTCTCTCTCTCACACACACACACACAGAGACACATTCACACTCAGACACACACATAAAACAGAAGCAGATCCTGCTAGAAGAAATAAATAAATAAAATCACACATTCATATAGATGCAAATATATCAAATAAATTCAATGAAACTTAAATAAAAAATAAGGTTAGAATGGCCTGGATTGAGGCGCGAGCAGGGGCGGCCCAAGGTCAAGCGGGGCCTTAGGCAAAATTTTATATGAGGCCCACTTAATATTTTGTCTATTGTTATATTTTATTTTTAATTATTATAATTTTTTTATGTTTTAAAAAAATTATTTTTATTTTTTAAAAAATTTAAAATATTGATTAAGTTTTTATACTCAAGTTTTGACAATAAATTTTTTTAATAGATAATATTGTTAATTCATTCACTTTTAGTTGATTGTAAATAAAATTTTATCGATTTAAGTTTTCAACAAGTAATTTAATAATAGAATATGGGAGTAAAGAATAATTTTAAGATAACAAAGAAACATTCTTTACCCATGAGTAATGTGTACACATGAAGTACAAAACTTTAATAACATAGACAATTTAAGTATGAATTATTTAGACTGAAAAATTTATATTAAGACAAAAAAAGAACTTATTTTATAGATTTTCACCACAAGAAATAATGAATATAAATTTTCTATGTGAGTGAGTGAAATACAACTATGAACACATCCAAAATATTTAGAAAAATTTAAATTACAGCTCACATGAAGGAGTAATTTTGGACCTAGAAAAATTAGATATTGATTTGAACTATTAAAATTTGAATCATATCTAAAATACAAAAAATAAAAATAAAAAGGACTATTTTACTAAAGTGGTAAATTTTATGGAGGTCTCTAAAATTTAGGCTTAACCAAGTAAAGAGTAATTTTGGACCTAATAAAATTAGATACTGATTTGAACTAATAAAATTTGGGTCATAAAAATTTAAATCATATCTAAAATATAAAATAAGACAGAAAAAATTAGACTTATTATACTAAAGGGATAAATATTGAGGGCCCTCTAAAATTTGGGGCCCTAGGTAAGCAACTTAGTTGTCTAGGGGTTGGACCAGCCCTGGGCGTGAGATGAATGCCGTCCTAAAAAAAGATATGTATCATTCGCACAGAATTTTTCAACGTTCTTTTCCCAAGATATAACAATTTGAGAGAAACTACGGTGTAGTCATTAATCTCTCTATAACGAACTGATCTCACCCAAGTTGCCCACAAAACACACCAAAACTAGAATGAAAGAGAATATGTATATGTGAGTTGTTTCTCTATATCAAAGAAAGATAGAACACATGTCTATTTATACATTAATGGATATCTATTATTCTTTTAAAGTTATATGAATATATGGGATATATTGCTTTCAACGGCTAGTCCTCATG